AACTTGTCGCTATCTTCAAAACCTCTTCAGGGCCAGTAACACTCACTCTAGAATGATGCATGCTCGATGTGAAAATAACCAAATCTTCAGAAAGGAATGATTTGGTAGAAATATCAAACAAACTAAATCTCCACTCCACTTTCAAATAGTAGGAACAGCCTCCAATTTCTATGGCCAATTGAGAGTTTCCTTCAGGTATTCTACTATATGATCTTCTCTTAGTCTTTAAAATGCTAAGGGCCAAATTACTCTCCTCCTTGTCAATAGTTTCCCAGTACATTTTGTACAAGTCGAAGAGAGGAGTATTGAGAGGTGACAATTTTTCGCCATTCTTCTTAATAACAACATCTTCACTAAAGAGAGATGCCCCCTCCTCTCTCAAGCTTACTTGAGATTTGAGAATTTCCTTCATTCTGGATTTGTAATTTTCCGAATCTTCTCTCCTCTGATAGGAATAATAATCAATGAGATAATTGATCATTCTAGCTTCAATTTCGAATACTCTCATGAATCGATCTCTGTTATCTTCCTGAGTTACCAAGGATTCAAAGTGACTCAAATTCCACTCATACACAGTTTCAATCATGGACTTGCAGAAAGGAACAGCCAAAAATGGTGAGAACCAATTATCCTCCAAGAAGGGAACAATTTCTCGTTGATAGTGTTGTGACATGTTTTGCAAGATTTCAACACTAGCTCCCAAATAGTTCGATTGTGCATAAATTTGTTCTGGAAAGACATTTCCAAGAGCTATCAATGCATTCGAAATGATAATATTTGCATTCTTTGGAGCTATGGCAAAAGCTGCATTGGAAGCAATGCTTTGGCTTCTTTTTCTGTCATGATTGCTACCTTTTGGAGAGAGTAATTTATCATTGTCATTACCACCACTGGAAAAGATGTTATCTGCAAGGGAAGAAGTTCTCTGATTGGAAAATTCTTCTCTGCTAGCACTTGCTGAGAAAACATTTGACAAGTTCATACCTGACAAATTCAAACTAGCTCTCTTATTCTTTGAGGAATCATTGATAATACTTTGTCTCTTATCCACTGTTGGTGTGAGTGGCTTTCTTTCTGACTTTTCTGAAGGAGTTGGTGATTCATAGCTCTTATCTTTTGAAATGTAATTTTCCAATTTTTGTTTGGTAGCACTAAAACTATTCATTAAACCTCTACGAAATGATTTGGCTCGATGTTGTTGATGTTGATTAGCAGGTGAAGTAAATGTTGGACTGACGTGTCCAGTTCCATTCATGTGTAAATTACTATCCGAAATGCTAAATGCACTATTAGAAAGAAATAAATTATTTGATGGAAGTGATTGTGGTTGTGTTGTTCCATAAAGTCTTGGACTTGTCAATCCAGTTTCTTGCAAAATTGAATTGCTAATGATTGAATTATTATTCATCTCATCCTGGAGTGATGAGTTAGAGGAGGACGAAACTGTTATAGGTGGAACAACAATACCTCCTCCATTTCCACTATTAACAGTACCAGCAGGAGTACTGCCACCACTAGAATTATTTTCATTAGAAAGGAATGGATTATTTGGTGATCCATTATTACTGTTCATGTTAGAAGATAGAAGAATTTGCAACTCTTGGGCTTGGCTCTTCAAAATTAAAAGCTTGTGAATTTCTGGTTCCATCATCCGATCGTGGTGATAAAAAGTTTGATTGTTGACTGTTGAGTGAAGAACCCATGGCTTGCAATTGTTGTTGAATGTAAGCTAGAGTAATTTCCTGGTTGAGTACCAATGATTGTCTATTAGGATTATTCTCAATACCTGTTGAGAGTTGATAATTCAAAGAGAAGGGATTATTTGGACTTCCATCAAATCGAATCACATGAGTGGCAGGAAAGAAACCTTTAGAAGTCATGTTCAACTTGTCCTGTTGTTGATCACCTCCATTAGAATCATTCTTCCTTCTCTTGGATGATGACGATTTGGAAATTTCCTTATCATCTGATGCAGTAATTATCATGGAATTGTGTTGTTGTGTCCAATTTCCAACACCATTATCATTGGTGGATGAAGCAGCAGCCACAATAGCAGCTGAGAGATAATTGGTTGGTTGGAGACCACCTGTTGGAGAGGTCGGCATCATGTTGAGAGTATTGGGTGAAGTGGGTGGTGGTAGAATAATTTGTGGATCCGAATCAGAGAGGGAACTAGAACCCAGGAGGCCATTGTTGTTGTTATTCCTTCTCGAGGAGGCTCCTGATGGTGATTTGGATTTTAGAGAGGGATGGGCAAGATTGAGCATACTTGGGAATCTGTTGGGTGATTTAATTGATGAAGAATATTATTAGTAGTATGATGATGTAATTAATTAATAATTGGTTAAATATCATGACGATGATTGGTAAGAGAAAGATGATAAATATATGAACGTACCTTTCGCCCTTGTACCATCCTTCGTTTTCTCCCTTGATGAGAACTAAATCTCCCAAGGAAAGTTTAATGCAATAGTCGGCATATTGTGCTGGTGGTTCAAAGGGTTGAATGACTAGTAGCAGACAATTTTAAGATCATATTCGATTTTCCATAAAATATTTTGAAAATATTTTTTCGAATTGTTTTGTGTAACAGTAAAAAACAGACAAAAGTGGCGGCAGAAGTGGTTGATATGATATCAGGTTATTTGTATGTTGATGTTATCAAATAATCCAAATATTTAATCCACAATCATGATGATTCAACAACATGTTATCATATGATGATCATTTGATCAAAATAACAAAAATATATCCGTGTTCATAATTTTCCAATACAATTTCATACAAATTTCCATCAACAAATGTTATCATAATTTTCCATCAATATAATGATGACGATGATCATATGAAAGATAATAGTAATTGCCAAAATATCAATGTATATTGATTTCATACAAAATTAGATGATGATCATTCGTTGTATGAGAAACAATCAGCAACAAGACTAAACCTACCAATTCCGAATGTATGTTCATATTGTGGCCACAATTGTTTGGGCGTATTATTGTTGAAGAATCCTAGGGAACCACCTCCAAATATTTCACCAAAAGATGAAATTGTAGATAATGCTGGTGGCATATTTTTTTGAGTTTGTTGACGTGTGGTTGATGGTTTGACAGAAGAACTATCTAAAGTAAGAATTGGCGGTATTAATCAGGAACCAACATACTAATATCGTAACACAAGAATCAATGAGAATAGCAATTTGATTGCACACTTCTGTTTGGGCAAAGGTCACAGGATATTTATTGAATTGTACATGAATTTTTTCATTAATTATCGCAACCGATGATAGCTCAGCTGGTAGAGCATGGGACTGTAGCAAGAAAAACTGTCATCCTGTGGTCGGCGGTTCGATTCCGTCTCATCGGATCTTTTTGTTGTTTTCTGTAATGAAAGAAGCTTTTAAACCAATTTCTGTGTACGGTTGCTTTTTCTAGAAACATGCTGACCTGGAGTCGTTATCAATTCAAGATATGAATATTACAAGGCATGGTTCAATGTTTTTTATCAATGAAACATTCTATTTGAACTTAAACTTCTAATAGCAACACATACAAATGATTACAATAGTATCCAATAGTCTTCCACGATTATTCCTTCTCTCAATATTTTATAGACCTGACTTCCAAATTATCATATATAGCTGGAGATAAGGAGTTTAAAAATGAGCGATTCATTACAAGGAAGTCTAATTCGAATTTATCCCTACGAAGAGTGAACAGTACTACTTCCTTTTCCATTTCATCATCTCATTTAATTATTTCCCCCAAGCAACCTTCCACTGTAATCAGAGCAAGATCCCGGCTCCGTGAAAAGGTCGTCTCTGTGTGAATGCTATTAAACTATTGCCTTCTTGTGTTGTGGTCTGCAAATTTCAATCAAGAAAAAAACTTGTGAGATTAGTATGAGAAAAGGTAACAAAATGACCAGCCGCTATCATCAGCATCATTGGTCCATAATGATAATGATACTGTTGATTATTTCTTTTTCAATGATTGTTAACATTCATGCTGCATGGGATTTTAGTAGATTTTCCACTCACATGGAACAAATTCAACAATTGCACAATACCTTCTTCGCCAATATCAAGGGAGGTGCTTCCACTGCAATCTTATTCAGAAATGAAACTGTTGGCGAGGTGTTTGCTGGCATTGCTCAAGGAAATCAAAAGCCAACCAGAGATACCAAGTATAGAATTGCTTCAGTAACCAAGACATTTGTCTCTGCTGCCATGATGGCCTTGAGAGATGAAGGACTCATTGATTTGGATCAATCAGTTTGTGATTTTGTTCCTGAATTTTGTACCTTTCCAAATCCTGATGGATTATCTTCCAATTTCACATTCAGACAACTTTCATCCTATTTGAGTGGATTGCCAAGAGAAGCTCCATGTGTTCTCACTGCATGTGATTATTCCAATGGTCAAATAATGCAAAGAATTAAGGAGAATGGATTGTTCCTTGTTAGAGATGGTGATCATTATCCAATTTATTCCAATCTTGGATATTCCTTCTTGGGACATGCATTGGAGAGTGCTGCCAAGATTAGTTTCGAACAAGTTATTCAGAGTAGAATTTTAGACAAGTTGGGCATGAAGAATTCTGGCTTTGTCAATAAGGACAATTTGAACAATCTCATTTTGGCTGAAGGTTATCATGAAAGTGAAAGAATTTACACCAACAACAAGACCATCTCTTGGTCTCAACCTGCTGCTGGAATGTATTCTAGCATTGCTGATTTGACATTGTACGTCAAGAATTTGATGAATGCATTTGCAAATTATGGAAACAAGATGGAAACATCCATCATGAGTAGACAAACATTGAGAGAGTTTTTGAATGCACAACATGTTCTTCCTCATGGCTCTGCTGCTGTTGGATTGAGTTGGGAAATGGTTCATTATCCATTCTTGGGAGGTTGGGCCATTATGAAGAGCGGTTTGATTGGTGGTTACAATGCTCAAGTTGTCATGATTCCTCATTGTGAGATGGCTGTCATTACATTGCTTTCAAGAGATGATGGTGCACAATCTTTGGCTTTACAATCTGCTGCAACTATTGCTTCTGCAATGAAGGATTACTTGACTGAATTGAGAGAGAAGGAAATTGCTGGTAATTTTGGCTCTTTAGTCTCACAATACAAACAATCTGGAAATATTGTTAGTTTGGAACTTGGTAATGTCACCAATTCCAACCAAAAGTTACTCAATATTAGAAACCCAATTAGTTCACTTTCTCAATCTTTCAACTTGCTTCCAAGTAAGGAAAATGAATTTATTATTCAACCATACGATATTCCAACAAGAGTTCAATATGAAAAGGGATTAGGTGGAAGTAGGGTTATGACAAGAAGTGATCTTGCCAATATCACTTCACCTGATTTTGATTTATTTGCCAACACCCTGTCTACTTCCAACAAGAGAAACTTGGAAAGACAAGCTATCACCTCTGTTTGTAATCACATTCCAAAGGATGTTTCACTCTCATTGCCAATCACTCAAAGTGATGCTGCTACTGCTTTGAAAAATTTGGGAGATTCAGTTTCTGCATTTGCTTCTCAAACTGGATCAAAAGTTGCTATCCAAGTTAACTATAAGGGTCAACAGGTTATTATGTTTACATTTGGATCTAGTACTGATTCTACTTCCTTCAATATTGGAACACTTACTCAACTCTTTACTTCCACTGCTATTCTTATTGCCAAAGAGAAGGGACTTATCAAATCACTCGATGATCCTATTGTTAAATATCTTCCTCAAATTGTTTATCAAGAAAACTTGCCATTTGAGAATAACATGACCATACGTCAATTGATGAATCATGCTTCAGGACTTCCAATTATTGCACCTTGTGATGATACTGACACCTGCTCATTGAACTGGAATCAATATGTTGAAAAAACAATGGCTGAACAACACATCATTCAACCAAGCTCAACTCTTAGAACATTCTCTACTATTGGATTTTCAATTTTAGGAAGATTGATTGCTTCTTTGAAAGGAGTAGTTTCATTCAATCAATTCGTTACTGACAATATTTTGACTCCTCTCAAAATGACTGATTCAGGATTCAAGTCTGCTTCATTCTTGGCCTCAAATTCTGAAATGTATTCATCCATTAGAGATGTTTCCAAGTTTTTGAATTGTATTTCTGGAATTCATAGGGAATGCTCAATTATTAAGAAGGAATCATCCAGATTACTCCACTTGAGAAATTTACTCTCCAACGACAAGGCAATGAGTATGTCACTTGGTTCATTTGAGCATGAATTCTCTAATGGCATTTGGTTTGCTTCCAAGTATGGATCTATTAAGGGTTACAGTTCCTATGTTGCTATGAATGACGATTTGGATCTCTCTGTTGTTGTATTGTCATCTTCAGATAATAATGTGGGAAAGTATCTTGTCAATAACCAAAGTGCCATTCCAAACTTGTTCAAAGCATTCACAACAGCACTTCAACAACAACCATCTTTCTTAAAAGCCAACACATCTCTTCCTAGTCAGGAATTGCTTAAGGATATGAAGGGTATTTACAAGGTATTCGATCAATTCCTTCTCTTTACTCAATATCTTCAAATTGATTACAATGCTCAATTGGGTTTGATCACTTTTGCATTTGTTGAAAGTGCTACTCCAGCACAATCTTCTGCATCTCCAAACTTTGTTTTGGAAATGATATCACCACAAGATAATCTCACTTACAAGGTTAAAACATTGAGCACATTGTCTTGTATGGGAAATGT